ACTAAACGTAGATCTACATGTACAGCGACCGAATCTGCCACACAGGGGAAAGGATTCTTGTCTTTGACCAGACTCGTTTCTTCGCAGTAATGTTTGACAAAAATATAATATTCATTTCTTACTTTAAAGATCTTTGCGTAAGGCGTTAAACTTCTCAAAGTTCACATCATCCTGAATGGGACGGTGACTCCAAATACCCGCGTCTCTTGTCAGACCGAGGCTTGACTACGGCTGGCCAGTCTATGGATCTGCAAAACTCTACATCTAGCCCTATCCGTACGCCCTGGGACATTTTGTATCCCCGGGGTTGCATTCTTCACATTTTAGAATAGTGTTAGTACGAAGATCTCCTTGAAACTTTCAGTATTTCTCAAAAAATCATTTTGACAGACTACTATGCAAAGCGTACGGATCGGATTAACGAGTAATTTCCTCTTTGGAAAGTGGTGGCGCAGAGTTCCTCACGTCGTATGGATACGATAGTGAAACACGACGTACGAATAGGGTTAAAAATGCTGGACCCCATACAGACCCAAGGCTTCCGCCTCTCCCTGGGGATTTTTGAACTTCTCCTGTGGATAACATCACATCCCTCAAAGTTAGACGAAAAGAGCCCTCTTTACATTACGCAGTCCAACAAAGCCCAACTCCAGATAACCCAGCCCATGTCCATGTTTTCAAAACTTTTCTGGGCATTAAAAAGGAACAAAATCGGTTCGTTCCTGATTTGGGGGACATGCAACAAGAGTACACGCTTACTCGAGTGGAAATTTAGCTCACTTATGACGAGGGCGAGCATGTGCTACGTAATGATAGCAACAAAATAAACTTGCTGTTGTATAGCGCATATCCTCGCTCGACAGGCACTTATAAAACAATACGGTCATATAAATAGCGAAAGATAGAGGTGCTACAACTTCAAGAGAGTCACAGACACAAACAAGAAGAAGGAGGGCAGGGATAGGAGCAGGCCTTAAAACATAGAAAAGAAGTAGGAGAGATAAGGACGATAGATGTTTGATAGGAAAAAAATGAAGCAAACATCACCAGAACACCCGCCAACCACCTGCATAAATTTTCTAAGCGTGACAACCACAACGGAAGAGAGAAGGAGGCTAGAGGTGTGAGGACGTGAGGACGAGAGGAAACAGTTGACCAACAGAACGTTGCAAACCTTGGTGAAATGAAAAAAAAAACCCAGCCAAAAAGACAACCACAAACAAAACAAATACAGCAAAGAGCAAAAAAACCCCCCCAAAACAACCCCCCCAACCCCCCACCACCAAAAACAACAACAAAAACAACGGCAACAACCAAACAGCAAAACAACAAAAGCCAGCAGCACATACTAATCTGTTTGTACATGTACTTTTATACAAATATAACAAGGAAAAGAATCACCCTCGCGTTCTGAAAATGAAATCAATAACACAGTCACATGATTTTCCACACGACTTGTAGTCAGCAAAGATGAATGTGACAATTGAAACGTAAGGAGAAAAAGAAATAAATAGGAAGAAATCAAGTCTATAATAACATAATCAAACGACTCGAAAGTATTCTAAACAAAGTTCAAGTTTTAATCAGAAACGTCAACTTCGTTTTTTCATCCGTGTGAACATTCATTCGTCAACAAAAGGGAAATCTATTCAGACGACTCGGCCAAAATAATCTGTCAAGTAAATGAACAATTTGGTTCGATTTCCTCCAACAGAAAAAAACCCCATTTTCATATTTGTATACCCATTTCATTTATCTGTCTACCGAGAGAAGAAGAAGAAGAAGAAGAAGAAGAAGAAGAAGAAGAAGAAGAAGAAGAGGAGGAAGAAGAAGAAGAAGAAGAAGAAGAAGAAGAAGAAGAAGAGAGAGAGAGAGAGAGAGAGAGAGAGAGAGAGAGAGAGAGAGAGAGAGA